TTCATGTCATGCACTTATTCAATGTCCGTAATCTATTAGGTTATTTATTGTCTTTATTATGTCGTGATGTTTACGAAAGCCCTGGTGCCTGACAAGAAAGGGAACCTCCGTGTGCTGTTGATGCGCTCTGGGCGGGGGTCTTTCTCACATTTTCAAGCCCATGGTCCATCATAATAACCCTGTCAGTCACATTCTGACACATTACTGACACCTCCTGTGAATTCAGTCGGTTTGCATCTGATGACCACTCATTCAGTTGGTGACAGCCTCAAACCTGGCCATCCTCCTCCATTAAACACACATAATAACATTTAAATCGTTGTGTTATTAGTAGTATCATTTATACATTAAGGGACGGTACCTGCAAAACGGCACGTTGGATAGTTAAAAAAGTCTCTGTTAGTCCTGCAGCTGTGTATGAAAATGTCTAATCGTGTCGTATTTTACTGTTGCATGTTAGTGCATCATGAATCAGTGACATCCAGAGCATTTACGCTACCGCCGCCACAGCTCGCGAGAGACACGCATGCGCACTGACAAAAAACAGCCGGTCTTTAAAAAATCCTTATGCCAACGGATGTAATCAAGGGAAAGAATATCTCTTATCTCTGGGCATACATGGTGAAATTGTAAGTATAGGGGTTCTTTAGTTGTTTTTAAATATACGAGGAGCAGAAAACGACCTTTGAATGTGATTGTTGAGGATGGCATGTCATGTTTGACAGAAATGTCTTTTCGATGGTTGTCCTGGGCGATAAAGAGATATTGTAGCTGTGCTTCATGGTGGCACTTTGCAATGCGAGGATATGCGATAGAGACGTTAGTGCGTTTCGTTTTTGCTTATTATTAAAGTAAAATGCACGATGTCTTTTTTTATTCTATCCGCGTGCCCCATCTTTAAGCATGCGTTGCGCATTAGAAGCTATAATATTAAATTTATCGTCTGTTCTGCTTCGGTCAAATCAAGCTGAGCATATCGGGCTTTTACTCTCTGCCAGTCTAATCATCATGAACGTTTGCCATTCGTGCAAGCAAAGAGACGCAATGCTTCGCAAAACTGTTTAAAAACATATATATAAATCGGGCATTATCATCAATCACGGCTCGAGCATTTCTTATGCACCGCGGCTGTGATCAGTGATGAAGGGCTCCAACTGCAGCTCGACGCGCTGCGCGCCCCCTCCTACCCCCAAATATGCCAACATCTTCCAGCTCGAGAGAGCAATATGATTCCACGATTCTATGGAATCACAACAGCAAGATTGACAGAGATCAGAACAGCTAATCACGAGTTACTTGGCGATTGCTACTCTCATTTCTCTGCATTTAAACAGACAACTCAGTCCAGAAGCCTATGCATTTGCTTCTGATAACCTTCACAGCAAGGTTTGTTTAAGCCCCAAAGCCATGTTGTTTAAATCACCAACACCGAAGCTTGAGGAGAAAGAGAAAACCCACCCACATGGCAACACGTCTAAATTTATTGAGCTGTAGGCCTAAGCATGTTTGCGAACGAGAAGCACTGTTAACACTGAATGTGCTAATTATTTTATGATAATAAGCTATTTCATGAACATGCTTGTGATTCAGATATGCAAGGAACTGCAACCTAATTGGTGTTAGTTGAGTGGATTGGAGTTTTTAATTGAAAAAAAAACTTTTACTACATGATATTTTGAAAGTATGGGTGTGTATGTGTGGTGTGCAGTGCTGAGAAGTAACTGATTACATGTAATCTGGATTATGTAATTAGATTCCAAAAATGCAGTAGGCTACTTGTTATTAGATTATCTCAAGGGCAGGAATTGGCTTTTTTTATTAGTGGTAATTTTACCTTTGCGTCAATGGCATTTTAGTGACCTTAATAATTGTTTTCATTCATTATTTATAAATGTAATTTTACTCCAAGCAAATACTTTAAACAACAAACTGTATAAAATATTATAGAGTTATAAGAAAAAGTGGGGCATTGCAGTGGCGCAGTGGATACCATGATTGCTTCACAGCAAGAAGGTTGCTGGTTCAAGTCCTGGCTGGGTCAGTTGGAATTTCTGTGTGGAGTTTGCATGTTTCCCCATGTTTGCGTGGGTTTACTCCAGGTGCTACGGTTTCCTCTACAGTCTAAAGACGTGCAGTATAGGTGAATTGAATAAACTAAATTGGGCCTAAAACACATGCTGGAATAGTTGGTAGTTCATTCTGCTGTGGTGACCTCTGAAATAGAGACTAAGCCGAAGGAAAATGAATGAATGAATAATAGAAAAAGTAAAGTGGTGCGAGGCGGCACCAGGTCGCTAGTTTCAGTCTCGGCTGGGTCAGTTGGCATTTCTGTGTGGAGTTTGCATGTTCTCTCCGTGTTTGAGTGGGCTTCCTCCGGGTGCTCCGGTTTCCACCACCATCCAAAGACATGCGGTACAGGTGAATTGAATAAACTAAATCGGACGTAAAGCAAATGCTAAAATAGTCGGCAGTTCATTCTGCTGTGGTGACTTTAATGAATAAGTAAAGGTGTGCAGTGACAGAAATTGACATTGACATCATTGTTAATTATAGTTAATCATATTTTAACAATGATTTTTAATGTTGATTGATAGAATACATTAAAATGTGTTTGGGGGAAATTGTACGTCACATTCTGGCTACACAGAACAAGATCTTGATTTTAAAAAAGCTGCAAATTTAAAATAAATCTTGTTCTTACAGGTTTATTACTTCAGCATTTGGTTATTTATGAAGAGAGTAAATTAATTAGTGATCCATTCTTCTGAATGTTGGGCTAAAAGCGCATTTTAGTAAATTATAAATCATATAAAACAATTATTCATAATGTAGTGTAAGTGGCAGACATAACATAAACATCTTGACAATGTCATCACAGCTCTCTAATGTCAGTTATTGGTCTTGTTAAAAGCAAGTCAAGCCAAAAGTAATCTATTATACATTATGCTATTGACTACAATGGGGTATATGCACACACACTTTTAATTTCAGCCAGCCAACCGCAGCGCTTCTGGTGAACTGTTTTTCCATTATAAAATTGTTACGTTTAAGATCTGATTTCTTTAAAAATCAGTGATCTTCACTGCCTGATGAATATACAATAAATAGTGGGTCTCAGACTGGATAAGAAGCACTGCATTAAATTACATTTCCCCTCGGCATGTCTTTAAAACATGACAGTTTATTTGACCCCAGTATTTTCAATGGAGTTTCTGCGCTAACCTACTGGTACTGACGGCTCTAGTGGTTGCACAGTCTTTCATCTTGTTTTACGTTAAAACAACTAAATTAATGATTAACTCTATTTAATTGAATGTATTGTAATTACATTACAACATCGATGCTAGAAAAGGAACGCTATGAAATTGAAAATAGTAATATTTAGTGATGGGTCGTTCTGGAACAACTTTCATTCATTCATTCATTTTCTTGTCGGCTTAGTCCCTTTATTAATCCGGGGTCGCCACAGCGGAATGAACCGCCAACTTATCCAGCTAGTTTTTATGCAGCGGATGCCCTTCCAGCCGCAACCCATCTCTGGGTAACATCCACACACACATTCACACACACACACACTCTTACACTACAGACAGTTTAGCCTACCCAATTCACCTGTACTGCATGTCTTTGGACTGTGGGGGAAACCGGAGCACCCAGAGGAAACCCACGCGAACGCAGAGAGAACATGCAAACTCCACACAGAAACGCCAACTGAGCCGAGGCTCGAACCAGCAACCCAGCGACCTTCTTGCTGTGAGGCGGCAGCACTACCTACTGTGCCTCTGCTTCGCCCTCTTGAATAATTTGTTATTTTAAACAAATCTTTTGCATGACTCGAGAACGATGGGTTGAATCGAGAATGATTCGTTCATTTGCACACACGCACATTTGTGCAGAAGGAGTATAAAATTAGTTCCTTTTTTGAGTCTTCTATCGGGTTTGAGTCTTTCGCTCATCACGTGACAGACAGAAGACACTCATATACATTTAGAGCCGGAAAAAGATTTGATCTGTTCCTTGGGATTGAGTCAGCTCTTTTTTTTATGCTGTCACATAATAACCGAACGACCCAAAAACCAGAAAACTCGAAAGAAGAACTAATAATGCTAATCAGACTGTGTGCTTTGGTTAAGCCTATATGGGACTGTCTGTGTGATGTGAACAAACTACTAAAATTTAAAGATCTGTCAAAAGCTGAGCTGAGCTAATTATAGACAGGTAAACAATTATTAGAGTTAAGAGTTATTTTCTCTTTCTTATAGCATTCTAGTTATGACTTGTTTGTAGTGTGATCAACGTTTGGTGTAGTTGTAGATGAGTTTGGAAATAACCATCATTTTAATATTTTGGCAAATTGAACGAAATGAACCAAATGACTTGAAAAAAAGATTCATTCTTCTCACTGAATGAGACTCAAAGGTCCAAGTCAGTAAAAGGATCTGATCTTCCCATCACTAGTCATATTAAGCTTTCACCAGAAGTTTATAATTGGCTGAAAAACAGTAGCTGTGCATATACCTCATTTTCATCATGAAATTTACAATCATTAATAAGCTGCGACTTGTAGCTAATCTACACAGCACTGGCAGTATGCATGTATTCAAATCAGCAGATTGAGCACAAGTATGTCATAACATGTCCCCACATGTTAGTATTTGTGACATGTTAGGACATTTTGCTTTCTGGTCAAGTTGAAACATGTCTTGTCAATCTACATGCGCATTTAGCATCTTGCAAGGGCTCGCATTCAGTCCTTTTATTATGCGGCATGATTAGTTAATGGAAACCACTTCTGCGCATATTTGTTTTATCACTTGCCATTTCTTTAAAAGCATCATTTTCTCTATTCAATCCATTAAATGTTTAAGTGGACTTGAGGAAAAATAACTTCCTCCGATATCTACACCCTTCAATTGCTTGTTGAACCAATAATTGGTCCTGTTGATGTATGTGGCCGCAGTTGTATTGGCTCCATCTCAGTTGCATCCTGTCTCCTGCAGCCCATGGGATCAGAGCGGATGGAGATGCGAAAGAGGCAGATGTCGGTGCAGCAGGAGTCGGTGGCGGGGACCACAGCACCGGCGCAGAACGAGCAGCCCGGCCAGGGAAACCGTGCCTCCAACGCCTGCTGCTTCTGTTGGTGCTGTTGCTGCAGCTGCTCCTGGTACGATTTTATTTACACTGCTAATGTCAGATCTTATCTAATGAGATTCGTTTTAGACAGGAAAAGCTCGTATCATAAAAAAATGATCACATCTAGTTATGTTTAATATATATATGTGAGCTTTTTGTTTGTAAGCACAACAGAAATGTGTAATTGTTATAATGATCAGAGCTGAAAAATAAATTAAATAAAAAAAAAAAATTAAGCTAAATGTAATGCTGCAAGTTGACACTTTTCATTTCATTTACTGTTTCTACATAACATTGTGATGTTTTAGGCTTTTTTGAGGGTGGATATTTTGAATGTTACAATTTTTATTAATTTTGGTGCCATTTTTAGCCATCGTCAATTTTTAACCCTTGATTATAGGGCTGCACAATATATCAAAAAATAAACGTTATCACAATTAGTTAATTAGTAATTAGTTTAATATAACCTTTTCTTATGAAGGGCCAAAAACCAAACTTGATTGAGTGCTGTGGACTGAATGTATATATATTTAGCTGCATTACAAAGTTTACATGAATAATTTCCTTGTTTATTTAAAAATAAATAGAAAACAGTACATTAATCATATTAACTAATCCATTATATATTTCTCACATTTTATAATGAACTCAATACACTGTAAAAAAAGTCAGTACAACAACAACAACAACAAAAATAACATATTCCTTATTTCCTTTTGCTTTTTCTTGTTAACTCAATCACCTGCACTGACCTAAAATTATTTTTTATTAATACAAAAAACATTTAGTTGGGTTAACATAAAATTATTAGTTTTTTGCAGAGGTGAACTACAGTTTTTTGGAGAGGTGAACTACACAGTTGTGCCAACTGAGGTTTTTTTTGTCTGCAGAACTGGAATGCCTGAAGTTGAGTGAAAAAAAAAAACTTTTTTTTTTTTTTTTAACCTATAATTGATAGGACAGTCGAGAGTAGACAGGAAAGCGTAGGGGGGGATCGGAATAGGACCTTGAGGTGGGATGTGTCATGTGTCGACACACTAACCACTACACCATTGGCACCTATGTATACGTTTGAAAGCATCAGTTGCACGGACCTAAAATGTCTGAAGTTGAGTGAACCAAAAAACTTTTGTGGAAATCGGTACTAAGAAATAATAAATTAATAGAACAAACAATCATAGTTCAGTTGAAAAAAAAAAAAAAAAAAACAGGAAGGCATGCTTCACATGTGAAGAAATACAAAGCATTTTCCCTGTTTGTCCAGCCATGTTTTGATCATTGCCTTGTTTACCGTTATTGTTGTTTTACCTCCTGTCATGTTTCTAACTCTGTGTCTAATAAAGGTTTTATTAACATTTGTCTCTGTTTTTTTTTCAATTGAACTGTTTGTTTGTTCTGATAATGTATTATTTATTAGTAACAATTTCCACTAGAGTTTTTTTGTTCACTTTGTTGTATTCAAAAGTTGAGTGCATGTCAGTGGCAATGGTGTAGTGGTTAGTATGTCGATATTTGGCACTCTGGTGTTCACGGTCCCCTGGGTTTGATTCCCGCCTCGAGGTCTTATGCCAATCCTTCCCCTCTCTCTGCTTCCCACACTTTTCTGTCTATACTCTCTATTGTCCTATCAATTAAAGGTGAAATACGTTTAGCACACAAGAAAAAACAAAGCGAAAGGAAATAAGGATTATGCTTTTTTTGTTCACTCAACTTCAGGCATTCCAGTTTTGCAGACAAAATATGTTCAGTTGGCACAACTTTAAAAGTTTTGGTACAGAGTAGTTCACCTCTCCAGAAAACTAATAATCTTATGTTAACCCAACTAAATGTTTTTTGTATTACCGGAAAATAATTTTAGGTCAGTTCAGCTGATGTTTTCAAAAAGTGAGAGAACAAAAAAGGCAAAAGGAAATAAGGATAGTGTTTTGTTTTGTTTTTTTGCACTAGCTTAACATTTTTTACAGTGTATATTGAAAACAAATGAATTCCATTTGTAACACTACTTTGTAGTTTATAATTGGCTGAAAAACATTTTAGTTTATTGCCAAAATACACTAGTCAAGCTGCACCTGCCTTTCCCTTGATTTGCTTACTGAGGACATCTAAATTGTGCTCTATCCGCTAAGCAACAGTATGTTCATTTAAAAAAAAAAATGGATTCCTTTACGACATTTAATTAAAACATTTCATTCAAGTTAGTCTTTTTGTAGCTTAAAAATAAAACTAATGTAACAATCACCAGCGATCTAGTGTTCACTGGTGAACTACACACACATCACATGAACTACAGACACACTATCGTACTACAAATCCCGTCATTGCACCCCGCACACAGCTGTTCCAGATTGCCATTAATTACACACACACACACACACACACACACACACACACACACACACACACACACACACACACACACACACACACACACATACACACATACATACAGCCAGAGGATTGTCAAGGACTGATTACAAGAACTATATAGTTCAGTTTGTGTTCTCCTTTTGTGGTCTGTTTTTCTGTCACAGTCCGGTGTGTAGATTATTGTAAAACTATAACAAAACAAAACAGAACTAAATCAAGGCAAGACAAATCAATAAACACACGGGCATCTTGGGAGCAATAAAAAACAACAAACAATGAGAGGTTGTGTAAGTGTCAAAAATATTTCAAACTTGCATGACTTTGACAAAGTCATCACAGCTCTCAATTCTCCAATGTCAGTTATTGTCTGAGATTTGCACAGGATATTTAGACAAGAAATCCTCTTATTACTGTATATAAATGTATTGCATCTACTATTTTTAGCATTATAAAAAGATCTGTAATTTTGCTCATGTGAATTAAATGCTGTTTGCTTATTTTTCATGTACAGTAATAAATGTCATTTTCACTCAAGTTTCAGAGATCCCAAGACATCTGCATTCAAAAAGTAAAAAAATAAAAAATACCTAAACTCATTGCTTCCTGGCTGTGAGCTTAAAATGAGTAGCATTTACAGTGTTAAACTGACCATTGAGAAGGTAAAAAGCCACTCCAGGGCTTCCTGATGCCTGCTGTTAGGTGTCTTGGGATCATGATGTGTTTACTACCTTGCAGTCTCACTGTTAGGAATGAAGACAGAGATGAGAGGAACCGGAGAGCCTCGTATGACTTTAAAGCAGACGGGGACGCAGACTTCGAGGAAAGGTCAGTTGTTGCTTTTTATAGGAAGAGGTTTAGAGGTAAATGGGTGAAAATAAATGTAACTGTAAATGTGTATGCAAAGAAATCATAACGCCAAACTCGTGAATTTGGTATTTATCTTAAAAAATGCAATTTTATATCAATATAATCCAAAGTGCTTTTATTTTTTATTTATGTTTAATAACTATAGGTCTGTAAGATTAAATTTTCTAAAAAAAAAAAAATGTAATCTAAAATAGTTTATTCTTATTTAAATTTGATTCTTATTTAGATTAAGATTCTTATTTAGATTTTTATACTGTATATATTTAAAATGAATGACAACAATGTTTCCAAAATTCAAACAAATGAATAAAAACTTCACTACTAAATTAATGAATTAAAATAAATTACTACTGTTCTGCTAGATGAAAATCTCTGGGAAATTACACCTTATTTATAAAGAATAAAAGTGTCTATTTAAAGTGGCCTACAACAAAACTGAAGCACATGCTTATAACAAACAGATACTCTTAAAGTTGTATTTATAGATATTATTCTTGGTATGAACAGGCCTTAAGAGCACGTCTGAAGAAAAAACATCAAGATGAAAAGAAAAACTGCTACTGAAGTGTTTGTTGCCAAAACTGACTGACTTTTTTTTTTTTTTTGGCAGTCCAAAACCAACTGCGGAGGAGATCTGCCTATGGGGGCAATCCTTCGACAAACTGATGAACTGCCCCTCTGGAAGAAGTGCCTTCCGGCAGTTTCTGCGCACTGAGTTTAGTGAGGAAAACATGCTCTTCTGGTTGGCCTGCGAGGAGTTCAGAAAGGAGGCCAATAAAAGCGTCATCGAAGAGAAGGCTCGAATAATATATGAAGACTACATCTCTATTCTCTCGCCCAAAGAGGTGAGTGAACACATCTGCATGTGTAGAAAGATAAATAAAAAAACTATCCCCATTTAAATACTTCTAGTTTGGGTATTTAATTTCATTCAAAAAGAACTGAAACGAATCACTTCAAATAATAATGTTGCTCAACAAATAATCCATTTTAGGCATGGGCCGGTATACATTCTGACGGCTCTATAATATATTCTTTTTAAATGTCACCTGTAAGCTTTTTTCCATCTTTGAACACAATATATTTTTATTTGAGAAACATTTCAAATATTTTGTAGCAGTAAACATGTCAGGCTAAATAATTCAAATGAATCGTTGACTTCTGCTGTCTTCATTAGTTTTAATAACATAAGTTTTCTTTACAAATTAAAATAGCATATTTGGATATCTTTTCTGCTGGAGGTACTGTTGTCCTAAAAAACTAAAAAAACAAGAATAAAAAAATCTTACACACAGCCTAGAAATGGTGTAGCAGAAAATGTTTTAAAACTTTGACTTTTCCGAACCGCGGTATAGCTTAAAAACGGTTATCGTCCTATGCCTAATCCATATACATACTAAAAACTGACTGAGACTTTTGTTTTTGTGTTTTAATTTTACCCCTCATGAAAATAATGTTATTCTTGGTAATTTAATATATATAGCAATAAAGCATATCTGAGGCCAACATTCTTATTTAGTTTATTTAGATACCCTACAGTGCAATAATATTCACAGCCCAGACTAAATAAAAATATATGCCTCAGTCTACATTTTTGTGTAAAGTAAAATACACAAAAAAAGTGTTTTATATGACAAATTCACTTCAGGTCGCTTTCTACATCTTTGTAAATATGAAATACATTACTTTTGGTACATTTTGTTGCACATTTCAGATACACACCCATGAGAAAACAAGACTTGTTGTACAAAAGGGGTTTTAAAAACGAATGTAAGAGAAAAGTGCACTGCGACAACAGTTCTACCTTGATTCTACATTGCTTTTATCTTTTTTATTGAACCGAGCTTCATCGGACATAAACCTGAGCGTTTTGCATCATATGTACGTCACTGCCCACAGCTGAAAAATTATCTTCATAGAGATACAGTGTTTCCTCTAGGATTTTTTTCCAGCTGTGGCAGGCCTTTTTTTACACAGATCTTCCAACTAACTATGGCATTATTTCAATGACAAATGTGGTGAGCGCAGTATTCATGTAATACTAGCATGCGAATCTCTTTGCTTGCACGCCGATTTCATCGATCCTTTCTTGTGCGCTCTCAAATAAATGCTGCTGAAGTGTGATTTAGTGCGTTTTTGTAACGTGTATGTCTCCAAAATTTATTAGATTAGCCAGGAATATTTATGAGTGCCTCCAATAGACCTACAGAGCGGCATTAATGCGTCCTGAAGTAAAGTGAAATGGCTATAAACTCCAGCAAGATTAAGTCATTGTATGCATAGCTATAGACCTTTATCTATAAAGTATAATCATGGAAACTGTTTCCATCATAACTGAAAGCTGCGTCGTGTTTGCTGGCCTCATGCATCGCACAGCCCTGTCAGTCAGTCATCATCTCACCTTAAAGGGTAAACAAATAACGCACAGCACTACTACGATTACAAAAAAGTTTGCGCTGTTATAATTCACTTACCCTTTAATACGTTTTGGTGCGATTATTACCTGCTATTACCAAAAAAAAAAACAATGAATGTTTTGAATGAGAAGCTGTAATGTAGTCGTGGTGGGATGAATTTTGATGTGGCGCCCTGCCATGGAAGAATGAATGTTGCGAAAACCATTAGATAGATTGGTGAGGTAAACGCATTTGATTACAAATATAATACACTGTTAAGTTTTAATGGTATTTATTTGGTGTTGTGCAAAAAGCTGCACGGAAATAGTCATATAATTATTGTTAATAGTTATTTATTTCCATTTTCTGCTTAGTCCCTTTATTAATCAGGGGTAACCACAGCGAAAGGAACCACCAACTTATCCAGCATGTTTTACGCAGCGCATGCCCTTCCAGCCGCAACCCAACACAGGGAAACAACCATACACTCTTGCCTTCACACACATACACTACAAACTATTTAGCTTTTTTAATTCATCTGTGCCACATGTCTTTGGATTGTGGGGGAAAATGGAGCACTCGGAGGAAACCCACCCAAACACATGGAGAACATGCAAACTCCACACAGAAATGCCAGCCAGGGTTCGAACAAGCGACCTTCTTGCTCTGAGGCAATTGTGCTACCCACTGCGCCACAGTGCTGCCCCTCATCGACAATATGTCCCTGTAACAATCATTAGTGTGAAAAGGAACAAAAGTTGAGGCCTTCAAACTGCTCTGTAGTGTTCATTTTACCTAGATGAGGGGTGCCCAAACCTTTTCTTATGACAGGCAAAAAAACAAACTGGATTGAGAGCTGTGGACTGAAAGTGAAAATACCAAACTGCATTTCATTAAATTTTAAATAAGTAATTTCCTACTTTATTTCCTGATATTTAAAAATAACTACAAAAAAAATTGCTTTAAATTATATTTACCAATGCAGTATATAAAAAATTTGAACAAACTTATTACAGTAAAAATATAGACAATCTTATTAATAACACAAAGCTGCACCTTTGCCTTGATTTTTTTCGCCAATGTCTTGTGCATTGGTCTTTATCAGTAGTTTTAAACAACCAGATTCATTTACAAAACAAAACAAAGTACAAAACAAACAAACAAAATGTTACATTAAATTTCGAAATGACCATCTCTGTCAAAGATAATAATCCATTCTTCCTCTATTTTCAAATGGGATGGTCCATGCAAACAATTGATTTGTATAGTTTGGGCGTCTCTGGTCTAGATACTGCAGATAAACGTATGTTAAGTATGTTAACATTTGTTTTTTTAAATAAAAAAGTCTTAAAATGGAAGCAACTTATAAAGAAACATCCTATAATGTAAATAAGTTTTCATTTAATAAGAATATGTCAATAGCTCAGTTTTGACAAAAATTTCAGATAGAACCTTATAATTTTAAGGTGATGATTTGGATGGATGAAGTGTGAAGAGAATAACACCTCCTTAGCCGCGTTTCCACTATCGCGCCTAAAGCGAGCGAGCCAGGGCGAGCCAAGGCCAGTGGCGTTTCCACTGTCACTTCCGGGGCCTAATCGGGCCAAAGCGGGGCTTTCTTGGGGCCAGCAGCCGGCCTTTTTCGGCCCGCCGAATACCTTGGGCCAAAGAGGGCCAGCCGGGGCTTCGGGGCGGAGTGAAAGGAGAGGCGGGCACAGTTTTCCGATCGCACACGAGTACATGCGCCAAACACATAAACAAATAAATAAATAAGGGAAAGAAAACATTTGGAACAAATTATAGGCTGGGGTCTTTTTTGCATATGATCGCCCTTATGTTTCTCTTTTAAATGTAAGGCTGTTGCATAAAATGATAGTTTTTATAAGTGACTTTTCTTTGCTGCATCTCTTTGATGTTTCAATAAGGCATAATAATCTTTACACAATATTAAAGACACAGCAGACAGTAAAGCTTTTCAAGAGGTTTTGTCAAGTTTAATAAGTGTGTTTTTGCGCGTTTAAATGCCTGTGTATATGTGTGAGACAGAGGAAAAGAGCGGCTTTTTTCTTTTATTTTTATTGTTTTAATTAATTTGGAGGTAATACACTATATGAATACAACAGAAAGACATTAAACTTTACAAATTTCATGTCCACTTTTGTAGGCTCAAAACAATATTGTCATATCTAGATAAAATAGCCCTATATTGAAATAATTTAAAGAATTACAAATATCAGATACAATAAAATCACATTAAATAAATAAACCAATATAAAACTAACAAAAGCTATAGCTATAACAATTAGGTACTATATCAAACTGTTTCAAATTTATATTAAACTTTCATTTTTCAAAAGCCTCTTTGAAAAAAAGATTTTAGATATTTTCTAAAAAAAAAAAAAATAAATAAATAAATAAACAACAGAAAATGTTTTAAATATTATTTATAAAGTATTTTGATGCGATGAAATTAATCAAATCATGCAAACAGAGCATTTTCGGGGTGAGTGAAAGCAGAAATAGGCGACCTTTTTTCTGTCTGCAGCCGCGCAGCACTTTTTAGACGGGGAAAACTGCAAATTCAAAATGTGTTTTGTGTCCTCAAACAAGTGTGTATGTTTTTATATAACATGGTAAAAAATAAAAAAGGAAATTTTAAATACATAAAGAGCTTTATTAGTGCATAGCTGCTGAGCGCAACGAAATATAGGCTATATTTTATTACGTGCTGCTCTTATGTGCTGAAAAACTGAACACTTTCCTTTACTTAAGATATAATAAGCAACATCTTTAAATAAAGGGAATCACTTATTAAGTGTCATAAAGCCTATAGGGAAAAAATCCTGTTTCAGTTCTCTCCGAGCATTTGGGATGAATGTTGGACAGATTCTGTCTAGAGGATGTTATAAAATACATTTTATATCGAGTTATTAACAGAGAATTTTATATATATATGGTGTTATATTATGGATGTGTGCGCTCCCTGCGCTCCGGGTCCCTCCGTTGGTGGCAAGACCACTGGATTTCGATGCCAATAGTCGGTCGGCGAGTAAATGAGTATGATGAATGAAAACACACAGGCATGTGCGTATAGACATGCGTTGTACTGCTGTACAGTAACGTGTCATTTGTTTGTTTTGGTTGTCCTAATTTTAATAGTTTCGTGATGATGTGATGATGTGCTTTATCTGCATGATTCTCGCTGAAGTTGGCGGTTTGAGTGACGTTTGATTCGGGGGATGTTCTGGGGGCAGGGTTTGCGTGACGCGCTGTGAGCTACTAGCCCCACAGTGAAAACGCGACATGATTTCCGCCTCACTGCTCAACCTCCCGGGCGATTGGCCCAGCCTGGCCCGATATAAGCCCTGGCTCGCACTGGCCTGATAGTGGAAATGCGGCTATTGTCTTTTAACACACTTCACTGATTGCTTACAGTTTAGTGGAACTCAGTTTCATAATTCACACAAAGCATTGCAGGGCATAGGAAAGATGTGTGTAATCAGAGTTACACATAACATTTGTGTTTTGTGCTCTTTCAGGTGAGCCTCGACTCCAGAGTTCGAGAGGTTATAAACAGGAACATGCTGGAACCAACATCCCACACGTTTGATGATGCCCAGCTCCAGATATACACGCTAATGCAAAGAGACTCATACCCGCGATTCATGAACTCCCCGGTCTACAAAAACCTGCTCAAGACAGTCTCTGAAACTCAGTCGGTGGAATCTTAGATCTCTGTGATCCCGGTTGAATCCCCCCTCCCCCCTTCCCTAGCTTCGTTTGTTTTCTTTCCTTGTGTAGAATATGTTTTAAAAGGACCTCACTGTGGGTCCTCCCAGGGATTTTACTGCTATAGCGATCTGTACCTGAAAAAAAAAAAAAAAAGACGCTCAGGTCTCCAGGTCACTGGATTAAAAAAAAAAAGTCTCAAATTTCCTGAGGGCTCAACACCACAAGTACTGCTACAGATCAGCATAGCAACAGATGCTCCAAAGGATTATCAGTGCGTTTCGATGTTTTCATGAAAATAATCTATTTTATTTGTGTTGAAGTTTTTTATTATTAATATTATTATTATTTTTCATTCTTTTTTTGTATCAATGTTTGAAGGAAGATGTGATACCAATTGTGGGCTATATACAGTATATACGGTAGATATATTTATGAATTTGTATTACATTTCTTCAACTTTTAGTTTTTCTTGTGTTACAATATTTAACGAAAAGGGAATTATGGGTAACACGTATTGTCCGTTTATGAAAAACTGCGTATGAGAATCAAAAGCTCAAGTCAAGGCAACACTTCAGATCTACTTGCGGTACACAGTATTGTTTTTTTCAGCTGTTTTACACACTACTCCCTGTTTAACGACTTGGCATCTCCAATGAGGAATCAAAATTATATATATTTTTAAATCTAATAATCGTAATAATAATACATATAAAGGGGGAAATATAAAAATTACTAATACATGATCAAAATGTACTAATGATAACAATAACAAAGTGTTGGATAAGAAAAAGATATAAAAGGGATAGTTCACCCCAAAATGTAAACATTTGGTTATCTTATCTCCAGGCCATCCAGCTAGAAGATTAAGAACGTTTTTTTAATCCAATATTGTGGGGTTTATTGATTCATAAAATGCAAAACAATGACTACTGGCTAGTGATGCTCGGATGGCAGTTATATCCACAGGTGCTGCAGATAATCTGCAGGTCGGATAATAAAAAAAATACATTAAGATCAATTGCTGGTGGGTCGCGGGTTAATGTGTTTATTTCTTAATGATTTTTGTTTTGCATTTTTTAATCACATCCTGTAAAATAAAAATGTGTTTATAATACTTTTTTTATCAGGCAAACGAACCCTAATTTGCAGGTTAATAAAAAAATATGCACGTGGTGGGGGAGATCCATTTGTTGAAGCAGAAAGGGAGGCAAAACCGATCCGATGGAAACTTAAAAACAAAGAATTAAACAGCGTTTTAGCAAAGTGTTTAACAAGGATGAATCAAGTGCTGGGTATGCATTATGCAACAGCTGTGAAGCGTTTTATGTAAAAGAAAGCCACAAGACCGGTACCTCAAATATGAAACATCATGTGTGTGTGCTAAATCGAAAGGCCAGTCAAGTCAAAGTCAGAAAAGCACTTTAAGCTCTTACATTAATCAGGACTGCAAAAAAAAAAAAAGAATACTACTGGAATTAAAAAAGAATTATAAAAGTGACAATCGGGTGCAGGTCGGGTGCCGATATATACAGTTGAAGTCAGAATTATTAGCCCCCCTTTGATTTTTTTTTCTTTTTTAAATATTTCCTTAATTATGTTTAACAGACCAAGGAAAGTTTTACAGCATGTCCGATAATATTTTTTTTTCTTTTGGAGACAGTCTTATTTGTTTTATTTTGGCTAGAATAAAAGCAGTTATAAATTTTTTTAACACCATTTTAAGGACAAAATTATTTGCCCGTTTAAGTTATATATTTTTTGATAGTCCTTCTTTTACCCTAACCTGCCTAGTTAACCTAATTAAGCTTTAAATGTTACTTTAAGCTGTATAGAAGTGTTTTAAAAAATATCTAGTAAAATATTATTTACTGTCATTATGGCAAAGATTAAAAAATCTGTTATATAAATGTGTGAAAAAAAAACTTCTCTCCATTGAACAGAAATGGGGGGTTGGCATAAGAATTCAGGATATTAATTCAGGGATAATATTTCAGGGGGGCTAATTATGCTGACTTCAACTGTATATCAGATATAATTCAGTCTAATCTTACAAGAAAACATAAGTATTTTACGTGGCACCTAACCCCACCCCTAAACCCAACCGTCATTGGGGGATGAGGAAATCGTACTAAATTGTACAAATTAAATCGTACAAATTTATACGAATTAGCCACAAAGTCAAAAAGTTACAAAAAATTGCGGCGGGTGGATGATTAGTATGAAGCCGCGGATTCGGATAACATTTCAGCTGATCCGCGCATCTCTACTACTGGGACTTTGAGAGTAAAAAAAACACATACAATACAGGCTAAAATAAATTATGGAGTTAACTTGTTAACAAAGGTTCGGCGGCAGAACCAGGCCTCACTTTGTCTCTTTAACCAATCACCTACTCTTCGTTTAAATCTCAAACTTATTTAAGGCCGACCAGCCCTTTACCACTGTTCTTTTCATTCTTTTGAACCCACCATCCCTCCCTCTGTCGGGGGATCCAATCACTCTACTGAAATATTACAGAGACAGTACCCCCACTCCGAGTCTCCGGTTATCATCGTAGGATGCCCGATCAACCTACCTTCTACCTACCTGTTCATGTTTATCATCTTTCTTCCCTTCCCCTTCATCCCACTGTTTTCTTACCATCCCCTACATCCCTACAATAAAGTCTAGCTCAAAGTTTGATGTGGTCCATGCCGTTGAAAATACATCCAAAGACAACTGAAGATATGAAGCCAGATGATCGCTTTGTACTAGATTATTAACATATACAATATTTACTTGTAATATTTATGACATTTAATCTCACAACAGCGCCAATGTCAATTGCATGACAGTAAGTGTTTCAAATGTCCACGTTAGGGTGAATTATCCCTCTAAAAGAAGAGAACAACTGTATTTAATATGAAATTGCATATCTCTGACAACTTTTTCAAACTATGTGATGTGCACTTTGTACTATTAGAAAACACCAAGAGGAAATATCATCCATCTATAAGTGTTTTTCCATATCATAGTATTCATTTATTCCTAAACAAGCAGCTAAGAGATGGTTGGACATGTCGACTATTACATGTACTCAACCTAAAGACCGAAAGCCTCATTTTTACGTACAGTATGTAGTAGTATTATCTTTTACAAGCAAACTCTAATAGAAGAGATTTGACATGTAGGTATTAAACTAGTGTTTTAGATCTAAACAGGAGCCCTGAATGGAAAGGTGCCGATTTTTGTTGCTACCCTCGCAAGTAGACGACACCAAAGGAGTCCAGTAAAACTGTGTGATTAGCTTGTTCTTTCTCCAATACAGCTGACTAGAATTGGAGCTGCCAAGTTCTTACTATATTTTTTAGTTCTGTGAATTACTTTGTTGCCTGACTTTCGTCACTCAAAGACAAGATCCTCACTCGGGGAAGTGCCTTGACATTCAATTTTGTGACATCTCTTCTTTTTTTGGCAATAGTTGGTTTAAACTCTTGCCAAATACAGTACTCTGGGCCTTTGATCAATTCGTGAGTTGAGGTGTCCTGCGTGGCGACTTCTAAATCAAGTATTGCACTTGGTTTGTTGAGCATTTTGGAGAGAAAACACCATTGGTCTTGTGAAGTGCTAAAGTCACACGTTTGAGATAGCGAGTCTGTTTGTTGGCTAGTCGAGTTCAGTTCATTAGGATTGTTGATCTGCGTCCAGACTGTACATCTACCAACATGTATTTCATGGTGGTGCTTCTACTTGTCTTAGACTAACTTAATATTATTATGAAATGTGCAATTTGAGCTGATGGATTCACCACATAGATCAACCTCAAATACTATCTAAGCCAATGGTTTGGAGTTATACTGCCTATATATTTTTTCTTTCTCTCTTTTTGTTGTTGTTCTGTAAAGTCTACAAAAAAAAGTGTTATTTTCCAATCAGTTTACATTAAATTATACTTTTTTTCTGATTAATAATATGTGAATGTTTACAGTAATCAGATTAGTTTTTTCTGTTTTGATGAATTGAGAAAAATAATGATTTGTGGGCATTTGGAATCTTTAAGATACAATAAAGCACAATAATTTTAAAATGTGTGATTGTTGTGGACTGCAGGAAAATAACATGTATATGATATGTAAGCTTGTAGGGCATTGGAACTCAGGTTCAAATACATTCGGTGTCTTTTCTTGGGATCTTTTGCCCTTCTCTCACCATTACATTGCTGTCTATTCTACTCATACATGAAGCCAGGAAATCCTAGGAATAAAAATTATGTACAAATACAGTGCCATCTTCTTTTGCAAGTGTAATGTGTGAACAAAAATAACAATATATATATATATATATATATATATATATATATATATATATATATATATATATATATATATATATATATATATGTTGAAACTGAAACACTGGTCAATTTAATGATGACAGCCATATTACCCTGCAGCCCAAGACCAGTTATTCACTGATGCCCCATTCACACAACGCTTCCCATTGACTTTGAATATGTGATGTCAAGCATTGCCGAACTGAATAGTTGATTCAACACTTCAGCAACGTTGCTCACTGCAGAGGTTAAGAATTCCTCAACTTTTCAAGCACCAACGGAAGGTCAGCCAATCAGGTCTCTTTATGCAAATATAAATGATTGTGGACTAATTTCATTGGTTGATGCTGCTATGATGACTGCATCAGACCCAACTTTAGATACACCCTCCATCAAGCATTAATGTTGAAGCCCTGTTTGAAGCTAAGCAGAGGGGAAGCCTGGTCGGTATCTGGGTGGGAGACCACATGGAAAAACTAAGTTGCTGTTGGAAGTGGTGTTAGTGAAGCCAACAGGGGGCACTCAACCTGCGGTCTATGTGGGTCCTAATGCCCCAGTAAAGTGAAGGGGCAGCTATACTGTCGGATGAGACATTAAACTTTGTTATCTGTAATCTCTGTGGTTATTAAAAATCCCATGGCACTTCTCATGAAGAGTGGGGGTGTAACCCCGGAGTCCTGGCCAGATTCCTTCAACTGGCCCTTTCTTGTATAAAAATATAAGAAAGTCAAACAGATTGGAATAAGTAAAGAGTAAGTAAATCATCAAAGAATTGTCATTTTTGGATGAACTATGCCTTTACTGTAAATCATGCAGTAGAATAATTTTGCTTTTTTAACTTAACTACAACAGATGAATTAATAATTATAATGTGGACATTATAATTAAAACAAACTACACCAAATAATTGCATCATGTGCACAATTTAGCAAAAACAATGCAAAAAAAAAAAAAAAAAAAAGGATCCCATTATACATATTATTTCACTCTGTATCATTCCATGTTGTCGACTGTCCCTTTAAATCCAAAGGTGCTGCTGCTACCAGCCACCTCATTAGAAGAGGGTGGAGACTTTACAGCCCCTGCCTTGCAGACTCCTCAACAAACACACAAGGTTAACACAGTAAGTTATGTCTGTAAAAAAAAAAAAAGTTGAGGAAGTGATGTGCATCAGTATATTAGTCCTGTAAGGCTGGAAGCCTGATTTTTTAAGGATTCTCCATCCTAATGTGAAGAGAAAAGAAATCCTAAATCCTAATTAGGTAAATTTCTATCAATTTGTTAGAGCAACTCACTGTAGTATTGGTAACCTAGCAATCAACACATTGCACATTTTTCTTTTTTCTGTGATTTCCTTCATCCCTTGCGTTGAAAAAAATCTACAATTTAGACTTTTTACATTTTGTTTTTATCTTTAATTTTACAGCATGTCCACTGTAGTGGACCACAGGACCATTTTAGTTTGAAATGACTGCCACTCAGACAACAAAACTGTACAGCATATGGCTGTAAAGGGATATTAATCCAATATTAATGTATCAAAAAGTAAACAAGCCAATTTTTCCTTTTTGTATTGAAATTCCTGAAACAGTTTAGTCGGAAAGAGAGAGAGAGAATTGAAAAAGTGATGTAATACAAAACAAATTTAATATAAAAGTGATTTAAAACGGATTGTCAATCTCTAATTGTCTCTAATTTTCTGATTGTCTGACTCTAAGTCAGAGTCTCCCTCAACTATCTTATAAAGAATCCTACTAACATGCAGTCATTAATTACATTAACATGGTCCAGGTGTCCACTAGAGTGGACATTTAACAAAGGATGATATTTTGACACACAAACAAGTTAACAGCTTTGAAAATCTAAATGTATTGTTTCTGACACTTTAATAAACAAATATAAATTTAAAACAATTAAAAAGCTACATTTCACATACCT